AGCGACTTGATCACTGAGCTTTGCATCTCTCTGCCCATGCAGACTGTTTGTCGTCGAGTGAATAATGCGCATGCGCAGTTTTTCATGGGGAAACATTCTAACTACGCATTCATATGCAGCAGGTTCTCCGTCAGAAAGCGTAACGGTCGTACATACAAACGAGCTGAATAATGGTACAGATGTTTTGTTTTTTATTGCAGCATTCTGACTTGCATTTATTTATTGTTATTTCTTATCTTTGACATTTAACAGAATTTTTGGTTTTATAAATGGAAATATAAGTTATTACCTACGTTTCATATTAAGTTATGGAAATGAAAACTTTCATTACATTACGTTTTACTATTTAAAGTTACTCCGTTATAGCATTCATTAGACAGTATAATTCAGTATGACCAATATGACCGAACACATTCATGACTGATCTAGTGTATATATCTTAAAATTAGAACGAACTAATGATATCTTATTTTATAAAATTGTGTAAAGCTTTGTACAATAAAATTTGTTCGAACGCCTCATACAACTTTGTGAGATGAAAGGTTGCATAAAATAATTAGACTGGAATATTCACTCTGAACGACCCATGGGACAAGTCAGAGATCCCTATGTTTCATCTGTAATGTGAAACTACTGACCAGAGGGAAAGGAGCCAGTCAGCAGCATTCGCCACCACAATAGGTTGTCCAATCCTTTGTCATTTTTATAACGCGATAACAGATGAAAATGCAGTATGTGTTCAATGGCAGCAGGGCTCGAACCATGGAACCTTTGATTCACAGCCTACCATGCTAACAACTGGTAAATAAGTAAACAAAACCTTCAGTGACAAGTTTTAAAAAAGCTGTACATATTTTATTTCAAATTAGTTAACCTGCTACAGCAGAGAAAGTGTAGTTTAAACGTGGATAACAAATATAAACTCCACGAGAAAACCTTAAAATATCTCAATCACTTTGTTAACACGTATTACCTTCACAAACGAATTGTGTATATTATTTTTTCAACTAGTTTTTACTGTAACTAATCGATTTTATGCACCTATTTATATAAAACTTTATGAAATATGTTTGGTAAAAGACAAGTAACATAATACCAAAATTATTCTGAAAACTTTTACGAAGTATGTGTTAATAAAGAATTTTAAAGATCATAGAGTCCTGAAAATTTTAATGGGGAAAAAAATTATAAAACATTTCTCGAAAACGTACAAAGCTAATAAGTTGATCCTTGGAACTTTTACATCCACTTATAATGACAAAGCTGCTGTCATTATAAATCAAGAAGTGACAGTATTCTTTAATATGAACCATATATACTTCTGTTGAGCTTTTCCCAGTTAGGTTCAAGTAATCTATATTCTAAAGTAATAAAATTATTTCTTTTCATAATGTTGCATCAAGTTTCCATTGGATTAAGTATTAACATTTATATGTAGATGTTGCTTGACCAAGTACATCTCTTTAATAACGGTTGATCAATGATAAATGAAAGTACACTCTTTATTTGATTTATTCTAAAATTAACTACTTTTTAAATACTTAATAAATAAATTGTGTGTGAAAGTTTCAATTGGTCATGCGACAAATATTTTTTTAAAATATTATCAAAATTTTTTTTTAGCAAAAAGCTACAAAATGAGCAATCTGCGCTGTGGCCTCCCAGGGGATAGAATCTCGAATTTTAGCGTTATATATAAGCTTACCGCCAATCCACATCCAAATAACTTACAAATTTGAACATTACATGTTTTTTTCTATTTCCTAAGTACTGTGTTTATCTCTTACGGTCCGTTTGGAATCTTGATTATCAGAAAAATTATTCTTATGGCTTCACAAGACAAAACGTTCCATGTAATTATAGTTGCAAGGATGCGTGTAATGTATGCTTCTTTTATTTAAAATTTATTAAGCTATACTGAGTTACTTGCAATTCACCTACCTTTTAAAGCCATATTACGTTTACTGATAACAACGGATTCACACCAAAAAATTTGTTTTTAAGTGTTGTTAAGAGAAAGTTTAGTCCACGTATGGTGAAGATGGTTTAGCCAAATATCTGATAAACTTTCGATTAGGCGGTTCTATTGCATGTTTGTTTTATAATTCATTGAACTATCATATTCTTCACTTGTACTACCTGCTCTGGTTCTTTTTATAAAGTTGTCGCTCTATATTAACTTGCTAACACTCTTTTCACCTGTAAGGATACATATTTATTCACAATAATCTTACCTGTATTCATTGAGTCTTGTAAGTTGTATTATATATATATGACTTGACTGTCGAGCTATATTTAATATTTACGATTATCTAAAAGTTACGAGATCCGGCATTTTTTATATTACTGACGCTTTAAAATTGTAAGCTGTATTTTAACACACAACTTTTTAACCACACTGAAAACACAAAAAATGTACATTGTTGAACATTTTAAGCTTTTATACTATACATGATCTCTGGTCAATTCATTTTATCTATCATGAAAACACTTCAACTATTCATTTGAAATCTCAATATACAAAATCAGAGCCATCTGTTAAGAGTTAGGCAAATCATTAAATAATATCCTAAATATAATGACAAACAACGAACGGCAAAAACAGAAGCTGTTCACGCAATACAACCCGTCGAAACTATATTTATAAATGTCTTGTTATAAACTATTCCTACTAAGTATTTAACATTCTTCATCATCGATATAGCCATACCTTGGAAACTTCGAAAAGCCACACGATTAGGCATTCAAGAACAAACGTCTTCCGAATAAAAAAAAAAGATATATAATGAATTGAATTGCTTTTAAACAGAAATATTCTGTGCAAATTTACAGCCTAAAGGATCACAAAAAATATTTTTGTATTGCACTTTCCGTGGCTTATATACTAAATCTACGGTTTCTAATGTTTAAAATATTGCATTTACATTTGTAAAATAATTCAAAAGGATGCTTAGAATATAAAAAGCAGAAAAAAAACAATTAAATTAAAAATATTTTAATGCATAATAAGCTACTCACCAGTAATGCAAATACTGCCAATAAATATAACTCATACAGGCAATCTAAGATATTGTTAAACTGATTTCTGGTATTTCTGCAAATATTTGACATTTAATATTTATTGCTTATTATTAATTGTAATGCAAGCTCCACACAAGTTCGAAGTTGTCTATGTAAATAACAACCTATCACTAAATAACAACATAAAACAAGTTCGTTAAACTTCAGTTTCATGTAACTTACAAAATAACATCACGAATGAATCATTTCTAATTAAATATTTATACCACTAAATTGATACAAATGAGATCATAATCAGCAGTGAGTTAATATCAGTAGAAAAGTAATACAAAAATTATGAATGACTAATGAAATTTTGATGGACAATTTCACGTATACAGTCAGACAAGGTATAGGGTAATTAATATACATGTTCATCACAGAAATAACGGTCACATTGATAAAGATTAAGTTCAACAAACTATTTTTAATACATACAAAATGTAATGGAAAACAATATGGTTTGGTGAAAACACAAATCTTCAGTTCAAAGTTTTCTTCCAACCAGTTTTCGCTGACTGTTTTCATTCCCGCGATATCTACATGAGCAAAGTAATGGACAAGACTGCGCTCCTCCAAGTGGCAGATATAATCGATCACACAGACCTAACAATGAGCCAATCAAATATCTACAAAATATCAATACTTTTTTTTTGACAATTCCATTTCCCACTACGTTAAATTACTATACAATCAACATGGGAGGTGCAGCTGTTGACACAGGGGTTGAAGAGTCTGCAGAGGCAGGAGTGGGAAGCTGAGAAACGGACATATTGGTAGTTTCTCCTTGTGATATATTTTTTCTTTTGAGATAAGGTGCTGTCAAGTGCTTAATACTAAGAGGGTGGTTGCTACTCTGTGAGCTACTTGTTGGAAATAATGATACAGCATTTTGCAAACCTGTGTTAATTCCGTTTTTACTTGGCTCAGACTTAACATCAATTTCACTAGGAACTGAAGGGCTGGAAAGACTAAGTTCAGAAGAAGTGTTGAGTCCATCTTGATCACTTTCTGTTGCACATTTGGAGTCTGGAGTAGGATCTTCTATACTACTAACACTACCAGTGTTGTCTTCGCTATCCCTAAGGTCTGTTCCATCTAAATATCGGATGCACTTTTTCTTCCGTCTGCAATTGACAACAGAGTTACAACTAATGGTATTAAGTATTAATATTCATGGTTTGTATCTAATAATATAAATAACGAAATGAAGTGCTGTGAATAAACTGTTAAATAAACAAACAGTTAAATAACCCAAAACAACTGAAATTGCAGTTGGTTGTGAGGAACCTATCATAGTGAATGATTAATAACACCTGTTTAATTATTTGTGCTGTTTCTAACTCATGTGGATGGTGCACAGTTCTTTATTCACTTGTGCAACCTACAAAACTGATAGCCTAGTTACATATTTGACATAGAAAGTTTCTTTCCTAAATTACTAGATCTTGTAGCAAACCATAATTGTAATTTTTTTGCCTTCAAACCATTTTCCAATATGTGTAATTTCAATGTTTTGCAGCTGAGTTTAAGTTTCTTCAGAGGATCACAACATGGTAGTATGAACAAATGTGAATTAACAGAAGATTATGTTCACTTCTATTCTAATCATATTTCTCAAGTAGAAAATCTAGAAAGAAAATATCATAAAAATTGACCAATAAACTTGGGAGGATAAGATTATTATTAAACTGTCAGAGAACAATATGATGAAAACCTATTGGATAAAAGTGGGATATTGGCAATATTTGATGTTATTCATCATCAGTACATCAAATCTTCAAACTAGAAAGCTCAGCCAGGCACAGTCAACAACTGTTTAAAATTTCCAGTAAAACAATCTTGCTAGAATTAATCAACTCATTTTCTATTCTCATGCTTTTTCTACTAAGTTTGAATGAATCACACTGGAAAGTATAAAAAAAAAGAAATACCTCACATACACATTACTATAGGTTCAAATATATTACATTGATGGTTAAATAGTGTTTTGTTACACATTTTTTCCACCTGAGAAATGAATGCAACAAGAAAAAAACTGTGCCCAAACTGCCATTTAGTCTGGTGAAATATGTATGAGTTAGATCCCCACTGAGTATTTTTTTAGCATGAAACCTGAAGCATTTTCTAAAAGCAAGAAAACAAAAAAGGGAGAAGATCAAGAAAATGCCTAAATACTGAAAATCTTCTGTTATTGGCAAATGATAAGCATATCTAAAAGAAAATTGACTCTATATAATATCAATCTAAAGCCCCAAGCAAACAAACAACTTTCTGTATGTGCATATTCTTTATGCACTGTGTCAACATCACATTTCGACCTTGGACTCCCCCGAGTATAGATAAAAAAAAATCATTTAAATATACTAGGATACTACAAGAAAGTCGACAGATCTAGATTTTCATACTCTTTAAATATAGATAAGCACATTTTAAAGAGGCATATATGCCATCACTATGCTGCACACAAAATATTTTCACTTCTTACAAAGTATTGTTTGAATGAAACTGTCATACTAACACCTTATATATAAACCTCTAAAATACTCAACACTAAATACTAAAAATGTAGTTATGCATGAAAAAAAACTCTCTGATAATGGAAAAAAAAGTAATTTATTTTTCACAATGATTTGTTTTTGAAATGAAATAAATCAAATATGTAGAATACTATATACTGATAAAAAAGCAGTGTGAAAACACATGACATTCAAACTACTTCAGTAATATATTTATTATTATTTTACTTAGTTATGGTCTCTTGTGTTATATTTCACTTTCATGTTGAAAGTATTAATGGTACAGTGGTTCTATGTCTGTATAATTCTGAAGCTAAGCTTTCTGCTAAAATATTAACAATACTTATGAATCGGGATGTTAAAATATCTGCCCTGTGGGATTCTCGGTTCTAGCACCTTACTGCTCTGAGACAGAAGCCATACCTATTGAGCTATCACAGCTGAAATTCCAACCTGACTGCTACAGTACCCCTTCTCAAACAAATATATTCCTCAAACCTACAACATATAACAGAGTATCAACAGGCTAAACACACTCTACATATGACTAGTCTCCAGCCAATAGCACCATGATACACAGTACTCTAAAACAATTCCCAAGCCACCCACTACAAATGATTTGATCTACCATCAACCTAGTTCAAATATGGTGGTACAAAGGCGAAAGGCAACCACTAAATGAACATCAATATATAATGAATCAGGGCTTAATTAGATTAGTGCTTAAAGTCCAATTCTCTACTGAGTTACCAAAACTTGAGACTCAAGCAGATAACTTTCATCTGAACATTAAAGTTACTACCAGAAAGAGCATCTTTAAAATTTTATATATGATTTAAATATAATATCATTACAAAAACCACTTATCTTTACAAAAATAAAATAGAGATATGGTGCTCATAGACAAAGGTCTGGAATAAACTTGAAAGTTAGTTATATTCACACAAATTTCAGATTTAGAATACACTTGAAAGAAATTATATGAAGGTTATTTTGACATGCTATTTCTTTTTACTTCTTTTAGTAAATCAATATTTAGAGTTATCTCTATGCACATGTACAGTTAAACTAGATAGGTAGGCTAAAGATGAAATTCAAGATTAAATAATCTTAATTTTTCATAAACCAATCATAAACTCTAAGCCACAAAGTGTTTTTAGGGTATTGTCATTTAACCTGTAATTTATACACTGAACTTTTCTGAAGTATTTTAATGTAGCTTTTGGTTATTCAGCAGTAAGTGTGAGAGCTTATAATGCTAAAAACCAGGCTTCAATACTTGTGGTGGGCACGACACAGATAGCCCATGGTGTTGCTCTATGCTTAATAACAAACATGGTGTTTCGGGAGTAGGACTGACATCCTAGTTCAGACACCGGGTGAGCATGTTTCGGTGCGACGAGGATTCGAACCCGCAGATTGCAAGTCGAGTGCCTTAACCACCTGGCCATGCCGGGCCTACCCACTGTGCTTATGTCTAAAACTCCACACTATAGGATTAAGCCTCAACATATTTCAGTAATAAATCAACAACATTCTGTTGTGTAAACAGAAGTACCCACACAATAATCGTGTTATATAAAATTATTTGTCCATTGTTTATTTATGCCAAAGCTTATTTCCATATTTCATGCACTTTCATAACAGTTGGCCTAACTTATAATGGAAAGATTGAAAGAGAAGAGAGAATGAATGAAAATAGCAAAAAGTACATTGGTGTACTTGCTAATAAATTAAATACTATCACTGGAGCATTTTGCAAGTTTTATTTTCTTTATTACTGGTTATATGTGTTGTAAATTAGCTAGATTTATAAAAAAAACAAAAATATAAGCTGATGTAAGGATTTAAATATGTAGGTACAAAAGAAAATGGAAGTAGACATATAAATGTAAAAATTAAAAGATAAAATTTACATAATATATCTGTAATTCTACTTAGTCACACCAGTACATTTAAAAAGCAGGGTTTTTAATATCCTATACAAATTTTAGTTATCTCACTAAATTATGATCTGAAAACTCTTACGCATAAACCAGTGTTTAACATATAGTAAAACACAAAAATTAATGGTTCCTAAGAAGATAGTATAACTATTCAGCACTACTCGTCAATAAGTTACTGGAACTCCATTCAATTATATTTCTTTCAAATAAAGAATTTGTACTACATGTGGATATGGGAATTAAGACTGTAATAAAAATCTAAGGATCTAAGAGTACTACATGTGGACATGGGAATTAAGACTGTAAAAAAAAACTAAGTATCTAAGAGTACTACATGTGGACATGGGAATTAAGACTGTAAAAAAAACTAAGGATCTAAGAGTACTACATGTGGACATGGGAATTAAGACTGTAAAAAAAACTAAGGATCTAAGAGTACTACATGTGGACATGGGAATTAAGACTGTAAAAAAAAACTAAGGATCTAAGAGAACATAAAATGAAAAAGATAAAAATACTGACAAACTCTACTAAAAAATTATATATTGTAAACTTACTTGAAAACTGAAATAAAATAAATAAAATGCTTGACAAACCACAGTAGTAACTGAGTTACATTCATCCAAACTCATTACTTCATGCTAAGTATATATTTCTTTTATGTTTTCTTCTTTCACAAAATTTTCTTTAAAATAGTTAACATAATGAAGAGTAGGTCCAAACTATGCAAACAATTTAATTTTCAATCCTGTATATTTGAAATAAACACCAAACAGACAGATCTGTGTTTAGACAATACAAAAACCCAAATTATTTTTGTCTCAGTAGTGCAATAACTTTATGCCAAGACAACCAACACTAGATCTTCCTCTTCTGGCTAACATATGTAACATAACATGTTTTTTTTTATTGATCTAAGTGACTTGTACAGTAAATACATTGAAGTTATTGTTAATTATAACACATGTGGTAAACAAGAAAAACTTTGTTATACCACTAGGATTGAATGATGTCTTAACATTTAATAATCTATACTAATGTTATCTACTTTAAAAGTTTCTACTGTAATTGCAAAATCATTATGTTTGGTTAATTTCAAGGCTTCCACCAAAGATTATGTACAGTGTGACTAGACCATTCCCCTACTAAAATTCTATATTTCTCACAAAGAACATAACAAGGATAAATAGAACATATGCTATATCAAAGATTTTTTCTGCACTAAAATGTACCAACTATGACACTGATTAAAGAACAAAAATACTTAGACTGAAGTTATTATTTTTTTAGACTTTCATATTATAGATGAAACAAACATAACTTTTAATATTAGACTAAATTCTCTGTTCATTGAGTGGGAATTACATAGGAAATAAATTAGCAACATAAACTTAAAAGTTCTTTCAAATGTGTGCTGTATTCTGCATATTTCTTCATTTGTGTAGTAAACTGACAAGCACACCTTACGTCTGTCTCAATTTTATGTTTTGAGCTTTTTAATAACAAATTGGCTTTAAAACTCTACAAAAATTATGTAAAAACCACTGTATATCTATCTATGTAAATTTTACTGATATCTATGAATTTTAAATCATATAAATTTGTTAAATAACCTGTGCAAACCTGTTAGATTGTGTCAATTTTGCATGATATTTTTCCTTTAAAATACATATTATTGGATATATATTGCTTAACTCTATATTATTTAACAGTAAAACCTTTACAAAGGCTGTGCAGAAGCTCTCCTTTACTATCTTACTATAACTGATCCAGAATATTTGTGCCAAATTTTACCTAATATTCCTTTACTTATCTAAATTATATCTGTTGTATCTTTACTGCCCAATAAAGCTTATGTACATATTCTGTGAATGGGTGTGAATGAGTGATGATTTTCATTAACTTACCTACAAGGCTTGCACCAGCGATTCTGCTGGTCCAGACCAAACCTTGCTCGACATTTCTTGGGATTGTTTGCTGTAAACAGAAATTAGCCCTATAATGTTTCTTATTTATTATCTAAACAGATACACACACATAAAAAAACTCTTCAGAAACAATACTTTTAATTATTCTGTGGCACTAAAACATAACATACACAGAAAAAGAACCACTTGTAGCACTTTACCAGATTATATAATAAATAAATTAATAGAAATACTTCTAAGCAAATTATTTTAGGTCTACACCAAATACAAGAAAACACAAACAAGCAGCAAAAGGAACCAATAAGGATTTGGTCATACGATGATGATTTAGACCTAAACTAGGTAGGTATAGAACTTGTACAATCATATTTCTTTATAAGTATAAACTGGCACCTCATTAACATTAGTTTTAACAGACTTAACATTATAAAATATGATATAAAGTCACACTATATAGCTAAAGCTTCTGAAAATTTAGTTGAACTGCATTTAATATGAATTTTCTCAAATGTGACAATTAGGTATTACTACAATAGACATAAATGAGATGCCAAAAATAAAAAATCTACTTACACATGATTTGCCCCACCCTTTGCTGCATGTTTGTGTAAACATGAAAAAGTTAAGTTCTAGTTTTTAAACAATCAAATTTCTAAACTTATTAATCTACATATTAAAAACAAGTACACAGATCAATACATCTTATGCTTATCAGAACTACAAACAAAAATGATTAGTAAAACAAAAGCTAAGAATTTTAAATATATTATTTGCATGCTATATTTCACACTCTCATATAGTTATGCAATAAACTACAAATAATAAGATCAGTTGTTAATTCTTATCTGCAAAATGTACATCTTCAGTTCTAATGTGATGTACAATACTAAACTTATGAAAACAAATATTGTCGCTTTCTCTCAGTTTTAAATTCACTAACACTGAAAAACAAAAGCACTTAACCACTACTGACTACAATGCTATTGGATTGCATGTAATAATCAAGGAATGATTTTTTAAAACAGTTTTTCCAAAAAAAATTCAATAATGAACTTCTATTAAATAATTTAAAAGAGCAAAGCTCTGTATTTTTCATTTTGCTTACACATCAAACAAGCAATTTATCAATGCTCTGCATATATTTGTGGTGCATGCATTTTAAGGATCCATACATAGTGTTTCAACTGTAACTGTAATGTGACTTGTTACAATTCATCAAAATTTTTGTCTACCTCTAACAGTTAGTAACTTAAAAATGGTAGAGAAGTGGTATTTAGGGTTTTACAGCAATTCATAAGAGAGAGGAAAATATTATTGGTTTTATTCAACAATTAGTAATTTTCTTTGAATGTATAAACATTTACATGGCTTTAATCATTCCCTTGATATCAATGGTATATTAAATATCAAAATTAAAAAAACAGCATATTTAGGTACTAAAAAATTACTCTACAAATGATTAAGCTATATAATCTCTCACTGATTCAAATATGTATATTACACCAAACATTACTCAAGGTATCTGGAAGACTGAGATAAGTACACAGCATATTATATACAATATTTATCAATTTTGCATGTGTAAGTCAACTTGTATTCCATATCTTAAAAATTCTACACTGTGCTAATGTAAATGTCTATATGCATGGAACATTACACTTTACATACAAGTCTGTATGTAAAGCTTCACACCTTCAGCCTCTCTGTAATGCATGTTTCTGGTGAAGTACTTCTTTTCCACAAGCACAACATATATGTCTGTCTAGCTCTATTTCAAGCTCTTCAGCCAAGGAGGCTTAAACAAGGAAAAATTTAAAGACATCTCTAATAAATTAATTAAAACTGCAAAAAGGAGAACCTAAAAGGGTTCAAATTGGCCTTAAGTATGGTAAACAAATCCTAGCATTAATCTCTCAAATACTACTGGGTTTTGAAGAATACACTGTATTCATATTATACAAATTACTATGCAGAACAGACAATAAGTCAGATGAAATAAATATCAAGTTGCATCAACATGTTTGCAAAAAAACTAATACCTCTACCTTTGGACTATTTATTCAAAATACATACTTATCAAGCTTCAAAAATGATGGGAAGACCTGAAAAAATAAGATCTACATATCCTAAATAAAGGAATACTTGTACACAACAATTAATTCACATAAACAACAAACATATGATTCTAAAAGTGTAGTTAAGTTGTACATGAACAGTAAAACCCATCCAGTATCCAATACACATGAATTAAACAACAAATATATAAATTTTAAAATTAGAATTAAGTACTGTTATTCAAATTTTATAACGAGTTTTCAAAGTGTTAATATATTAAAACATACACAATCTGGAATGATTTTATTTTACTATTATGTTTTTTTGCTTATCATAAAAACACACATACGAGACAATGAAAGCTTTATACATAAATAAATTAAAACTTACCTCCATCAGCACTTTTATCTTTTTTTTTCTTCTTCTTCTTCTTGTTTTGTGCATAATTCTCTCGAGCACTCCACCCTGGATACAGCTGCAAATGAAGTTGGCGTTCTTTCCGAGCCATTTCATAGTATTTAGATTGTTCTTCCCTGGACAAGCTGTGCCACTGAGTCCAAACAGCAAATATACTTATATAAGTATTTAAGTGGTATGTACTTTCACTGCTTATAATACTTTTATCAATGATTATTAATGAAATTAAAAAAAGAAATATTTTTCTAAGTTATTACAATGGAAATATAAAACTTAATCATATAATACAATTTTTAGGAATAAGAGACCAGAATTATTCTTTCTTAGATTAAAATGTTATTAAAATGAAGTCAATCACAACAAGAATAACAGCCAATCAAAATGATTTATTAATGCAAGTCATTTCATTTACATAACTTAATGGTCAATACAACCTTCTATATATTTGTTGCTGTCACAGAAAATACATAAATGTAAGTGTAATAATTTTAATCCTATTATTAAACTTGTAATATCAAAAAATAAAAAGTTGAGAAATTATCAACTAAAGATAAATATTTCTGTGAAGTAATTAGAAGCATAAACATATCTAGTTACATTTGATGAACTTTACTACCACAAATCTAACAAGGCTAATATTCTTAAGCGATCATAGTACAAATTTTGTTTAACATAGTGAGAAAAGTTTCAAGACTGTGTGTGAAACTAGAAATAGTCTAACATTTGTTATTGGCTACCTTTACTGAAAAGTATTTTCTTGATTTGAAATATGTTTAACAGTAAGATATTTTATTAAAACACACATACACAAAGTTTCAGCAAACATCAAATAAGACTCTCAGTTAAAGTTTTTATGTGATAAAACAATGCCTTACTCTCCTTCCTAATATTTGGTTAATAGCAGCACTTTCTTTTAATGTGCATTCTGCAACAACTTTGGCACGCATCTCCTTCATATATAACATAAAAGCATTAAGAGGTTTCTTGACATGGCTCTTTTTCTTTTCTGCTTCCTGCTGGAGAGACATACTACTGTGAGTGGAAGGACCACTGGATTCACTGCATTTTGCAGAGGTTGGTTTATGGTCTGGCAGATAGTTAGGTAAATGCCTGAAGTGAAACACAAAATATAAATGCTTACTACTGACTTTTCAAATTATGTATAGCAAATCTACCATTCTAAGTTAAATTCAAAATGAATTTCAAGTCTGTAATGGTTGGAAGGATAGTGTTAAACATGTGTATTTGCATAAGACTGTACACAAAATCCAACTGGTGCACATTACTTTTAACAAATTTTGGCAAAACCTACCTGTATCATAGAAATATTATGGCATTTATTTTCAATAAATTTGGAAAGATACTAGGGTTACATTCTAATTTAGAGTGAAATTATACATCACCCATAGCTGGACACACTTTAAGCATACTGTCATTACAACTTGTACAATTGTGTAACTTCAAAACATCTTTCTCCCAAACAAAGGATTTTCATTACTATATGTGACAAAGGCAAAATATGAAAATGTATCTTGCATAGTTTGTGGAACAGTGTCTAGAAAATTTCTAGACATTTAATTTGAGGTGTTTACAGAGAAGACAAAATATTAAGTGTGTTTGGGCTGGAATGCTTGACAAAAAAGTTGTTCATGGTCATTCATAACAACAGAAAATGAAGCCAATAACAAATAGGGAGGTAGAAACAATTTTACTATGCTTTAAATTAATGTTTAAAATATCTACAATAACTTGTTAAAATTGGAGGCTTTTCTTACCATAAGTATCATTGGTATTATAAAGTATTAGTTAAATGAAGATTATGAAGATGTAACATTTCAAGGCTTTAAGACCTTCCATAAAAACCGAAAAATTAAAAAGTTATGTTTTTTCCCCATCAGAAATAAGATTAATACTTTTAAAAAAATACAATAGAAGCTGACTGAATTTGAATTGGGTTTGGATTGAGATGCCTGGTAGAAAAAGAGATGCTCATTGGTTATTTGAGCAATTTAACTATTCTTCTAGTTGAATCAAACTTATTTTTATGAGAGATTGTATTTTATGGAAGCTGACTGTGTAAATATACTTTCTCTGTAGAATTACTTTCTTACTCAGAAAGTCAACAAACTTACTAAAACTTATGCCACTTTATGACATCTATCAACTTTACATTGGAAAAAGAATAACTTATTTTTTATCTGAAACTCCGTAAAACAGTAGAAAAAACATGTCAATGTTTTACAGTTCTGAAGTTAGCTTATATACGAATATAAGCTGCTAAACAACTTAAAAATGTACCTTGAACTCCCATGTACCCAACCATTAACATGGTTCAACTGTGTCTGGTATGTAAATCATCTTGTGACAACCCTCCACCAACCTGATGCACATGACTCCCTCTATTTGATTCTACAGAACTATCACTTTGAGATTAGGCAGAAAAGAAAAGCACCAGTTTTCAGTTGGAAGGAGGGGTGGGAGGTGTGAGAAGGAGGTAAGTACCAATTGGAAATATATTTTCAGTACAGGAAAATAACTTCCAATATGGTACATGTATAGCTAGAATCCCACATTGAATAGGCAGAGGGACTGGAGCGAGAGATGGAAAAGAACACCCATGAATTGTCATCTCCTTTGGGAGAGCATCACATCTGTATCATGTATACTCTGCACCCAGAGTCGAAGTAGGTGTCGGATACATGGGCAGAGAGTGGGAGGAGCACAACCAAAAAGGGAGAGACAACTGGTTGGGTCAAAATCCAAATCACAGTATATCGTAAGCTCAATCCTATAAAAGACGGGCTGTAGAAGAACCATCTACAGACAGGAAAGCAGGGAAAGCAAAAATGGAAGTGCTTCAAGGTGTAGAGTGGTTGGGACATGATGGCCCACCCAAAGTGGCCAGTCTACTCCAGTCCAAAACCAAGTGGTATGGAGAATATAACCTCCGACCCAAGGTAGGAGAAGAGTCCACAATGTCTTCACTTCAAGTTAAGTAGAATGGAAGGATATACTGGCTAAGTCAATCTATGAAACAGACACATGTGTGCAAATCCACAACCAATCACTTATCCAGGAATCCAACATCCTAATGATGGTAGGAAGATATGTGTTCATGTGGCAGATCACATCAAACTCAATCAGACTAGCACTCCACTGCACAACATCAGCCTCAGGCATTGAAAACATCGTGAGGCGGAGCTTGAGATGAAGATTTGTCACCCCGATCAACATCATCCTCCAGATAGGACTGCACAGAAGCCAAAACTCAATGCCACCTTCTGGGTCCCACTGCACAGAAGTGGATTGCCTCTAGAAATATATAGCAACCTCACCCTCTGGACAAAGCAGCACAAAAGCTGGGTGGAACGTCAACCTCTGGGACTGCATGGATGTGGAGATCCTGAGGCAAATTGAGTGAGGAAGAGGTAACACAAATGACGTGTGTGAGGATTTATGTTGATTGGTCCAGTTCTAATCCAAAACCACTCACTGAAAATCAACATCCATTTGATGTGATGGAAGGATGAGGGATCCCAATCAAAGATGTGAACTGCAATGTGATGGGTCTACTTCAAAGCAACATCATCCTCCAGATAGGACCACAGAAAGGCTGGAATGCAACACCAACCTCTGGGTCCCACCACAAGGAATATAAGCAACATCACCCGAGATTAGAACCACACAGGAGCTGCGCACAAAATCAACCTCTAGGATACACCACACAGAAGTGGAGAATATTTGTAGACATGTGCAACATCATTTCCCAGAGAGAACTGCACAGAAGTTGGAGCACCATGTCACCCTCTATGTCCCACCACACAGAAGTGGATTGCATATAGAAAATATGCAGAACTGCACAGAAGATTGGCACAACATCAACCTCCGGGACCAACCACATGGAGATGGAGCATATGATTGGAGGATCACACACCCTCTACACCAGCAGAGCATCACTGCCCTACACTCTACTGAATGGAAGCAAACACATTCAGGAGAACTCCTCCAAGGCCCACCACCCCATTGGCTTGGAACTGGAAAGTGGCGAGGACTCCCATACTTCACTAGAAGAAAAAGAGGAGATAAAACTCAGTGGAGAGTCCAGAGGAATACCAACACCAGAGACAGTGCAATGGGTGACCCTAAAAACCCTTTATTAAAAATCAGATCACCCTGATTTATTAAATCGAAGGGATGGCAGGGACGGGCAGCTACTATCCCCTTCTACTTTATTTATGTAAGTTCATGGATTAGTATGATCCAGAACAGGCATATTAGTGAAGCAGATATATCACAAAAAAATACTTACTAGCGATCTTGTGAGACACCTATCAACTGTGTGCATTATTGGCCATGGGTATATTGTGTGGCTGTACAGTGTGGATTTGAGATATAGATGGCATGCCTGGACAGACAATGCTCACCACTGAGCAAGATCCGAATCCGAAATGGGACATGCCCCTGGAGGGAAAAATATGTAGAGAAAAGATAGCTAGAACCGAAGTTTGAAAGGTGGCAACAGGCAGAAGGTGGTACCCTGAGAAGGAATAAACAGCTACCCAATGAAAATAGTGGGAGATGAATGTATGAGGAGTAGGCCACATGTTTGACTGAAGAGTTTCCTCCAATGGATGATGGAAGTGAGACTCCAGGAAAAGTTATAATTTTTTCTATACTGAAAATGTATTTCCAACAGGTACTTACCTCTTCCCACAAGATTAGCTATTCTCATTCAGTGCTGCCCTCTATATGCAAACTTTTTTTATGCAAGCCACAAGCCTTGCACTTCCCCTTGTCTCTCATGCAAATCATCATGTGTCATCTCTTAATGATTAGTAGCATGACATGCTCACATGACACATGTGACTCCCTCTACACCCCTATACCGAACCTTCACTTTAAAGTTTGGCAGAAGGTGTGAGCAGTGGAGAAGTGAGGAAGAAGGGTGGGAAGTGGAGGTAAATACCTATCAGATATACATTTCAGTAAAGGAAAATTATAACTTCTGATACAGTACTTACTTCCCCTCACAAAATTAGCTAGAATCCCACACTGAGAAGGAGGAGGGAATGGTGCAAGGGAATGAAAGTACCCCTGAAAGCATCCCAAGGATACCCCTGACAATGAGAGATATAGATCCAAAGATCAGAAGATTTGAGCCAGGTATACTATTTACCCATGTGTAGATTGTGTAATGCACAAGGGTGGAAATTGTGAGGTAAAGAGTGGTTAGGGCACAGCAGACTATACTCAGTAAGTCAGCTACATCAAAAACCTCCATGCAGGGTACCAACATCCATGTGATGGTAGGATGAGGATCATACTGTCTTCACCTCAAACCCAAGAATTGGGGATTAATACCCACACTGATTTCTAGGTATGCCATGAGGATCATCACCAATCTATCAATCCAGGAATTGACATCTGGTATCGAAAGGATGTCTACTGCATGGAATCAATAACCCCAACCATGGCACAGACTGGCACCATCCAAAGGCAATAACATCCCCATAAGAAGAGAACAAGGGATAGTCAAGGATGGTACTGAAACAATTTCATGTTATACCACTGTGACCAAAGACACAGGTGGAGCAATTGGGGGAGGAAGATAGACAACCCAAACTCGTGTGAGGACTGAGGTTGATTGGTTCAATCTAATCCAAAACATCTATGATGGGAAATGACTTCCAACCGACTTTATATTGCTTGGAAGTTTGCAAATCATTGTTTGTAATATAGTAATTTCAAGAATGGGGGGGCACAATGTTTGTGGCATGCATAGAGAAAGTTTGCATATCGAGGGAAGCACCATAAGTACCATATCAGAAGGGTAGAGTGCCCACTCTTAAGCAAAGACACTTGGAACAGAATTCAGGAAGAAAAAGATAGGGAGGAATAGACCAATAGAAGCAGTTGGTGATCCCAAATCATAAGAGTAGAAGAAGAAAGATTACATGCAGACAAAAAGTGCCAGGTATTGAAAAGGTGGAAATGGGAACCATTAAAGGATACCATGTGGGCAATGGAGCAATGAAAAGCACATATTGGATATAGAAATCTATATAGAACAGACCAGTAATAAAAGTGGGAAATGGATGGAAGAGAAAATG